AGGGGGCGGGGCGGGGCGGGGCGGGGCGGAGCAGCTGGAGCTCCCGCAACCAGGCCTCACCTATCCGGGTCCGCAAAACTGCGCGGCTCTGGAGTGCGAGGCGCAGGTGCAGGGGAGGGCGGAGCATGGGGCGCCTTTCTGTTGGCCTTCCCCTTTGAGTTCATGAGGTTGCCTCGCCGCGCTTCAGAGAGGTCCGTCTGGCAAGCGGGGAAACTGAGGCTGAGAGTGGGAGGCGTTGCACGCGAAGGCCACGCAACCTGCTAAGGGAGACCGCGGGCCCGGACATCGGGGTCTGGGTCCCCAGGCTCGCTTCGGTCGGTGGGCGTGGGGAGCCAGGCCCTGCTCCGCCCCGCGCGCTCTTCTGCGCCCCACGCCGCAGCGGGCGGCTCCTGGGAGGAGGAGCCCGGGTGGTGGAGGAGGAGCCAGGCAGCCCCTGGGCGCGGGGACGCAGTTCTCCGGGAGTAGAGGCAGAACTCGGGAGCTGTCGGGTCGGCGGTGCCTCGCGGGCGCGAGCTCGGGGAGCAGCCACATGGAAGAAAAGCAAATCCTGTGCGTGGGGCTGGTGGTGCTGGACATCATCAGTGTGGTGGACAAGTATCCGGAGGAGGATTCCGACTCCAGGTAGGGGCGCCCTGGCCCCTTGGAGACCTGGGGGAGGGGGGCGCCCGTCTGCAGCTCCCCGTTTGTGCTCCTCAGCCAAGACTACCAGGCTGTGGAGCCCGAACCCCGGCAGTGGGTCCATGGGAGTCCAGCCTAGGGGCTGGTGACCTGTACCCTGTCCCCCCACAGAGTTAAGGGGACAGAGTTAAGACCTTTGGCAACAAGACCCAGGCTGCATGGCGTTGCGTTCGCCACTTCCCTTTGCGACCGTAGGAATGTGTCAGGATTATTAATTATCCGATTTTACCTATAGGCAAGTAGAAATTGAGATGAAGTGTTATGTCTAAGGACGCAGGTAGTAAAGTGCTTTTTAAAAAATATATATATATGTATAATCGTTTATTTTTACATCATTTTGTGCATTTTTCCATCTCAATTGTAATCCCCGTGGGCTTCCCATCACCAGTAGTAAAGACCTAGGTAAGCACTTGCCTCTCACCAGCGTTTACTTCTAATTTATTTATCATATATCTTATCTATTTTTACTTTTTTTGAGGTAGCTTAAATAAGAGTATGTGTAGTTAGACTGTTTAGTGCCATTTAAAGCCCTGGTATCTGCACTTCCCTAAGTTTCAGAGCTTGCTGGCACCTTTAGAGATTCCATAGGATGTGCAGAGAGCTGGTGCTTGAGCCATAGCAAAGTCTCCTGCCGCTGAATTCCTAAAGGAGTTGATCAGGGCTCCTTTTTGCAAAAGTGGGTGCACAGGTTAGCAGGGAAGTCTCCTTCTGGTTTTCTGGCAGAAGTTAAAAAGTCACTTGTTAGTTCTTCTATTTACTTTTGATAAGAACCCACTACACTGTAACCCCAAGAAGGCATTTCTGTGGGGTAACCTAGGTGGCTTGCTCTCGGTGCAGGCTCATGCTTAGAGCACCAAGAATTGCTCCTCAGTTATCAGTTGTCTCAGCCAAGAACTAGATAAAAGACCAGTTCAAGTTTAAGTTCCGACAAGAGACTATAGCACAAACAGTCGTTGAGGCTGGTTGAGGGGACACCAGGCATTCTTCAGGTTTTGGGGCCCCATAGCACTGTTACTGCCCGTGGGCAGTGTGAGAGATCTGTCACCTCCTTGCTGTGTGAATGATGGAGCTAGAGATGTGGAGAAATGAAAAGATTTTTGCAAGGCTACAGAGTTCATGAGTGGTAGAGTAGTAATTATCGCCCAGGCCTCCTGATTCCAGCCTAGTGCTCCAGCCTTCCACATCTCTTGCGGCCCCTTCCCCTTGCTGCTGCCCATCTCATGGACCTGACCCTCTGGGTTGCCTTGACTGCCAGACAGTAGAGCCCCTTGCTGATGGGCGGCACACAAGGGTTTGCCGCCATGCAAATGTAGCCCATAAGACTGCAGTCCGGGTCCAGGTACCTGCTCCAGCTACCAGTGAGGAGTTAGGCTCCCTCTTGGGAGAACGGTGCAAATGCCTGGGCCACAGGTTTTCCAAAGCCTGGGAAGGACCTGGGAGCCCCAGGTGCTCTTTCCATGAGAGCTGCGGCCCCATTCCCTTTGAGCTTCTTTTGGGAGGCTGAAGTCAGGAGGCTCCTGCTAACTCCCACCCCGGTGGGCTGAGGTGGGCATTCGGTGAGGCGCCTCTCTAAAGAGACCCTTCCTAGCTTTCCCATGCCCACGGCACCTAAGGTGTAGCTGCCCCTCCCTGAGACCCAGGCGCGCTGCTCCCTGTGGAGCAGCCTCTTTGTTCATATTTCCTCTCTCTGCCTTGCTCCCTAAAGCCCTCAGCCTGACTGCTGGGTGCTGTTGTGCCTCTCAGGTGAGTAAGCAAGGGGGGCCCCAGCCCTCCCGGGTATCTTAGCCTCTGTGTCCCAGGCCTCTGTGTTCCATGGGCAGCTAGAGGCTCTAGGGAGCTGCACCTGGAGCTGGCCAGAACACTGAGGACTGGCCTGCCTTCCAGAGCCACTACCGGACCTTCCAGAAGCATCCGCATGCTCAGCAGAGTGTTTCTGCACAGAAAGTTGGGTACCAGTGAGATTTTACAGGGTTTCCATTTAGTGGAACTGTGGGCCCTTTCTTTCTTTTTTTTTTTTTATAATATAATAGTTTATTTTTACATTATTTTGTACATTTTTTTTTTCATCTCAATTGTAATCCCTGTGGGTTTCCCATGTAGGCCCTTTCTTTAAAGCCTCATCCACCTTGGGCCTAACATTGGGGTGTTTTCATTAAAAAAAATACAGAGCGCATGAAGTGGTTTGAGAGTCAGGAAGCAGGGTTCCGTATCAGCCCCATGTTGCAACCTTGAGGAGATCAACGCCTGCTGGGCTTCTCTCTTCAATGCATGGAGATTTCTCTAAAGCTCAGAGCTTGAAGAATGTTTGGCCCTTTACAATGTAGTCACCTCTCTGATGAGATTGTGTCCCCCTTTTCTCAAGGCTGAAGAAACTTTGGGGTGAAGTTTTATGTATGAATGTACCTTAACCTAAAAATTCGGCTTCATTTGTTTCTCTTAACCAGTGGTTCTCTGGCAGCACTGTGCCCTTACTGTAAGCCCATGCATACAGAACTGGCAGTGAGAGGCTTCACCAGAGACAGAGTGGGGAGCAGAACAGGCAGACGGACGAAATACACTGCCGAGGGGAGCAGCGGGGGAGACAGGAGAAGTCTGCCGCGCCATGTGGGTCAGCTCCCTGGCCAGGGATTGAACTCACGCAGCTGTGGCTGTGGCCAGTTTCACAGTGCTTTAACCCATTGCTCCACCAGGGAGGGCCAGATCTTACCATCTTCATGGAGCACAGGGTGCTTGGGGATCATGTTTGGCTGCTGAGGATGACAGGGAAGCCCTTCGGGGTATTCAAATTAGCTTCCTTTTGTTAGCTTTTTAGTAAAACTGGAGAAAAACTACAGGAAAAAGAGGCCGTTATATGGGTCACGGGTGCGGTGCCCAACCTCGCAGTAGCTGCTTGTATCAAATCTTTCCATTGTGCGCCCTAAGCTTACACAGTGAGGCAGGGCAGCTGCACCCCCGTAAAGCTGGGCAGGAAGAGGGGGTGATGCAGAAGACTTGGTCTCCACCAGTAATCTTTCGATTTTGGGCACGGAGAAAGTTAGCCCTCCCCCCTTTAAAGTCCCCAGCTTTGCTTCCTGGCTTTCTCACTGTACCCTGCACTTGCCACTGGAAAGGACTCTCAAAATGGGGAGGTCAGACCCCCTTGGGAAGAGGCCTGGGGGCGACCCAGCTCTCCAGGAGGCTGTAACTGAGCAGAGAGTGGGGGATCGCAGCGAGTGGCTCCCTGACATCCTCAGAACAGGTGAAAGGGTAGAAAGTAATCACTGTGAGTCGGAATGTAGCCCCGGCTGGGGAGACACACCTGGACCTCAGCCACGTCACTCTCCTCCTCAGAGCCGCAGCTGCCCGCTAACAAAGGAGCGGCCAGCCGATGCTTTCTGAGGAGCTTCTGTAGTGTTCCGCCCCTGCCCCTTCTCAGGGCTGCAGCCCCGACCCTCTGTGTTCGCAGGTGCTTGTCCCAGCGATGGCAGCGTGGAGGCAACGCGTCAAACTCCTGTACCGTCCTGTCCCTGCTGGGAGCCCCCTGCGCCTTCATGGGCTCGCTGGCCCCGGGCCACGTTGCCGAGTGAGTGGAGGAGCTGAGGAGGCCCGCTGGGTGGGAGAGCGCGGGGAAGGAAGCCTGCCGCGTCTGGGTGGGGGCAGTGGTGGTCAGCAATGGTTGTCCCCGCAGTGGGCAGGAGGCGCGGGGTGAGCGGCCGCACCCAGCCTCTGGGGCACCCCGTCTGCTGCTGGTGTGAAAGCTGCCCCCGCTGAAGGTTTCCTCACCACAACCCAGTTCCTGGGAGCCCGCTTCCGCTGCCCCGCCTCTGTCCTTGTGTCCAGGAGACTCTCATGGTAGATGTGACTGTGTGCTTCTCAAGTCTCCTGCCCTGCATGCAGCTGAGGGCTGTTAGGGGCCTGTGCCACCCGCCTCCTTCCGGGCTGGCCACCACTCATGGGCCTGGTGCCCAGGGCTTCTTTCCCCGTGCAGGGGGCAGGGCCAGTGCGCAGGTCCCCACGTGCACTGAAGCAGCCAGAGTACCCTGCCCAGGGTGGGGTACATGCTGAGGCTGCGTGCTAAAGCCGGCCTCAGACTGTGCCCCCCGGCTGCTCGGCCATGGAGGCTGCAGCCCGCAGCCTCCTGGTGTTGCTGCTGCAGGGGCCCAAGAGCCCTTTGCCCCGCTGGACTCAACTTGCTGTTGACTCAGCAAGCACTTTTTGCAGGGTGTGTGTGACCCACAGTTTGCCCACAGTGGACACCAGGCAGGCTGCCCGGTCACTGGTCTGTGATGCACAGATCTTTGGACACTGCTGAGGAGGTACAGCCAGATTCCTTGCTATGATGAAGGCATCCGAGGGGCATCAGGGCAAGAACCTGCCTCGCGAGGGGGCGCAGGGCCTGGAGCCCAGAGCTGACCCACACTCTCCGGCAGCTACCTCCCTTCCCGGCAGTTCACGGCCAGACGGCTCCTTAGGGCTGCGGACCTGCCCTCACACAGCACTCGCGCCAGGCAGGTTATTCCTAAGTCTCCCCAGTGCTCAGCAAACACTTACTGAGCACCTACCCTGTGCTGGGCACTGTGGGTGCAAAAAGTTACCAGGCCAACCAACCCATGTTTTCCACGTTGGAGAAAGTTACTGTTGAAAGGATCCCTACATATAAGACGAGGAACGATGCCCCGAATCAGCACCTTTGTAGAAAGATGGGTTGCCCTGCTTTGGCATTGCCCAGAATGGAGTCAGCCACAGGGAGAAAAGCCAGGGTGGTGGCTAGGCTGCTGGGCATGAGTGCCAGTTCCTGGAGAGGACTCTGCATCCCAGCGGGGCTGGGCTGGCTGGGCTGGCAGCCTCTCTCTCTCCTGCTGGCACAGTTTCCCTCCTGGGCTGCCCTCCTGCTCACTGTGGTTGGAGGGGAGTCTGGGCAAGAGCCCTGGACCGGGCCCAGACCGAGGGGCTCAGTGCCTGAGAGGGGTCGCCCTCCTGGGAGAGGAGAGGGCAGTGAGCAAACCCGCCCGGGCAGCACCACTTCCTGGCTGGGCGCCACAGACACTGGCTTGGACGCCAGGTGTGAGGGGCTTGAGAGGAAGGCGCGGATTTATGAGCTTGCACACGGCAGCTGGGGGCAAAGTATCACCCTGGGGATTACTCATTAACCCTGCCCGGGTCTTGCGTGAAACAGGCCAGTGTCCTCACCTGCCAGGTCCGAACAGGGTGCGTGATCGAGGCCCCCAGTCCGCCCCATCTAGCTTTATGCTTGCTTCAGCGGGACCTGAATGAATGCCCCCCCGTTTTCCTGCTGAGCCCCAGCCTGTGCCCTCTCCCCTCTTCCCCCTTTGCAGCCTGTGAAACTGGGGCCTTTCCAGCCCCTCCGGCTCAGCTTGCACCCCAGCCTTTCAGGGCCCCTGGGGCCAGCCCTCCCTTCCCCGACCCTTGTGGAACTGTGCCTACCCCCACTCCCGCCTCTGCCCCTGCCCCCCCGGCCCCTTCCCCACAGTTTTGTCCTGGAGGACCTCCGTCGCTATTCCGTGGACCTGCGCTACACGGTCCTCCAGACCGCGGGCTCTGTCCCTGTCTCCACAGTCATCATCAGTGAGGCCAGTGGCAGCCGCACCATCCTGCACGCTTACAGGTTGGTACACCTGTCTGCACTCGCCAGCTGCCGCCGCCGTCACTGAACTCTCAGAGCAGGACCATCTTGTCTCGGAGGCCTGTGGGCCCCTTCTGCCCACCGCGTGGCGGTCACACCACGGGGGTCTAATCCGTGTCTCCTTGCCCTCCCCTTGACTCGGGCTCCACCCCAAGCTTCCTGGTGGCTGACTTCAGGCGGCGGGGCGTGGATGTGTCTCAGGTGGCCTGGCAGAGCAGGGGGGAGACCCCGTGCTCTTGCTGCATCGTCAACAACTCCAATGGCTCCCGCACCATTGTGCTCTACGACACGTAAGGCCCCGGCCCCGCCCTGCCACAGCCCCCCAATCAGTTCCCTCACTTGCCACCATGGGCATCCCGGGTGCGCAGCCCCTGAGGCCTCTCTGAGCCAGAAATTGCCCCCATGGCTAACTGTTCAGTGATTTTTAATCAGTTTCAATTAGGGGAGAAGTGAGGTGGGCGGGGAGGGGCATGGCTCTGCCTGTCAATCCTTGGCGGACTCCGAGGAGGGGCAGGCAGGCCTGTCCGAGAGGTAATTCACGGTGACTCCTTCGTAATTGTCAATCAGCAGCCTGGGTGTGGGCGCGGGGAGACTGAGGGCCGAGGAATGAGAGAAGTGATTTAAACTTCTCTCGTTTATTTTTATTTTCGTTTATTTTCGTTTATTTTTTTTTAAAGATTTATTTATTTATGCTTACAGAACTGGGGTACAGGCCAGAAGTGTGGTGGGTGAGAGGATTCGCCAGGTCAGAGTGGGGAGCAGAACAGGCAGACTGAGAAGTACACTGCTGAGGGGGGCAGTGGGCGGGTCAGGAGGGGGCTGCAGCGCCATGTGGGTCAGCGCCCTGGCCGGGATCAGACTCATGCTGCAGGGGCTTTGGAGGTGCTTTAACCCATTGTGCCACCAGGGAGGGCCCGATTTAAACTATCTTAATTTGCCAAGGGGCCTGTAGTTTTCCAGGCCAACTCCCGAGTTGCCAACCTGCAACATGGTACCAAGGAGCTGGGGTTTGGGTGTTCAAGAAAGTGGCTTCCTTGTTCCATAACGCATAGGAAGTTAGCCAAATGCCACACCATTTGCAGCCATTGCTGAGGGAGCAGGAAGGGGAACATTGGTTCAGCACAACCGGGTCATGTGATGTGGTGCTAACCCGGGAGACGGGATCTCTGAGCCACTAAGGAGAGACCTAGTGGGCCCAGGCCCGTCTCATCTCTCTCAGACCCCATCCTGAAGAATTCTAGAGGTTTACTTAGAATCTGGTGTGTTCTGGGGACAGTGTTAGGCTGAGATAGCCCAAGCCTAGCTGCCCTGGGTATCAGGCTGCCCTACTCCTCAGCGTGACTGCTGCCCCGGGAGAGGGCCAGGCATCTTAGGACCAGCAATCCCAGCGCTCCGGGCCCCCGTGGGCGAGTGGGCCGGCATTACATGCTCCTGGCAGCCTTCACGGCGGCGGGCACTTCTCTTCTGCCCATTAAGCAGCAATCGCAGCAGAGGTGATGAGCACAGCAGGGGATCCCGAGGGAGGGAGAAAGGAGCTCCCAGGACAAACGCCCATCACCCACTAGCTTCAGTCCAGGCATGGCCGCACACATGACCCCCAGCTGCAGCAGCCTGTGGGGCCGGGGGTGTGGGCCCCTTGTACCCGGGGGAAGCAGCCTTGGGTAAATGGGTGATAGAGGACATGAAGTCTCTGCCTAGAGAAGGTCAAGGTGAGGCCTTCCCAAGTCTCCACACCTGAGTCATTCTCAAGCACCCACTGTGACCTCAGGGCTGTGACTCAGCTGCCCGGTTCTGGACAGTGGTGGTGTCAGAAGTGAGTGGGACAAGAGCCAAGACCTACACAGCCACCGGCGCCCTCCCTTGGCCATTGTGTTTTCCTACTCAATCCCCTGCCTGGATGGATCTGCGTGGGGCACAGGGGTCAGGAGTTCAGCGGGGCAGGGCTAAGCTACAGCCGCCTGTGCTACCGATGCATCTTCAGCATGCGGCAGGCGCCAGGCAGAGGGGCGGCTGCAGCCAGTTAGCAACCCTGGCCAGGCTGACCTCACCAGGCCCTTTCTCTGTCCTTTCCACCCTTTGACTTAGGAACCTGCCTGATGTGTCTGCTACTGACTTTGAGAAGGTTGATCTGAATCGATTCAAGTGGATCCACATTGAGGCAAGCCCCACCCTTCTGTGTTTTGAGGGTCTCCACCTGTCAGCCCTTCTACTTGTGCTTGGTTTCTCTGAACCATGAAGTACCGTAGAGATAATGAACTCCCTCCCCCCACTTCCTCTCCACCCTTCTTTCTGCTTTCAGGTGAAGAGACTAAAGCCCAGAAAGGTTAAGCAGCTTACTCGAGGTCACACAGCAGGATGTAGTCAGCAGCAGCAGGATGCTGGCTCCTGCACTGTGCCTTCTGTGTGCTGGTGACCTGAGCCTGGCTGCACAAGGCCTGGGCCAGATCCCAAATAAAGAGAACTAGAATTTTCATTCTAAAAGAAGTGCTGGAGACTGAGTGGGAGGAAGCCCTGACAAGTTCTGGGTTCTAATCCTAGCCTTGCATTTAGTTTATTGTAGGTCCTTGGGAAAGTCTAAAACGGGAGCGCTAACTGATAAGGTCTCCAATGCTCATGACAGCTCTAGAAGTTTGAGAGTTAGGTGGGGTGCCAGCCCAGCCACCCGCTCCTCACCCCAAATTCCAGCAGAGAGAGGACAAACCAGAGGGGCTGGGCAGTGCCAGGCTGGTCCTGAGCTGTTCTCCCTGCTCCAGGGCCGGAATGCATCAGAGCAGGTGAAGATGCTGCAGCGGATAGACCGGCACAATGCCCAGCAGCCTCCGGAGCGCAAGATCCGGGTGTCTGTGGAGGTGGAAAAGCCCCGAGAGGAGCTGTTCCAGCTGTTTGGTTATGGAGACCTGGTGAGTGGCCCTTGAGTTTCTCCTCCCACATCCTACTAATTACACTGGGCCCAGGTGTTCCCTTTTCATGGTAACTCGAGGCTCATTAGTGTTGGCAGGTGGGGAGCGAAGCAAAGCTCAGACCCACAACTCAGCAGTGACCAAGGAGTTGTTCGGGGGAGCCCGAGGCTTGTAGAGGCCGCCGCAGACAGCCGCAGGGCAGACGTGCTGTGGACACCTCCCTGGGTCTCCTCTCTTCCTCCGTCAACAGGGGAGGGATTGTCCTGCAGGCATCCACCCTCGTGGTGGCAACTGTGGGAGCCAGTAGCAGTGAGGAAGGGTGGGAAGACTTGCACAGGTAAATTTGGACAGGACTGGGCTGTAAATGGAATCTGGGCCATAACCCTGGCACCAGCTGGTGTTGCGCTTGGCAGAGGGATAGCCCAGGCTGAAATATTGTTTAACCAAACTCTCTGGCTAGTCTAGCGTGTATGTAGCTGGTACTGAGGAGGTGTGGGTCCCTGCCCTGTTGTTTCAGACACTGAAAGCAGACCTAGGGGGCGTGGTGATGCGAGCAAGACACCAGCTCCCGAGAGCCCCAGTGTGGTGTGGCAGTGCTGGATCCCCCAGAGGGCGCTCGAGGCTCGATTTTGATTTTTAAAGGCGGCGGAAATTCAGAGTTGATGCAGACGAGGGCTTTTGTGTCCCATTGTCTGTGGCTGTGCTCCAGCTTATCTGGGGCAAATATAAAAAGCATTCCTGTGGGACAGCAAGATGCTGTGTTGCAGGAGGCATGTGATAAACGGGGCGACGCAGGCGGCAGGTGGGACCATCAGCTTCTTCCCCTGCCCACAGGTGTTTGTCAGCAAAGATGTGGCCAAGCATTTGGGGTTCCAGTCATCAGTGGAGGCCCTGAGGGGCTTGTACGGCCGTGTGAGGAAAGGGTGAGCTGGGGGAAGCCACCAAAAGGCCCCAGGGGTGGGGCCAGAGTCCTCTGAAAGGGAACAAGGAGCCTGAGGGGCTGGCTGGGTAGTGCCAGTGGCCCAGTCCTGCCCTGGACCTAGGGGTCTGCCCTTGGGGAGAGGAATGAGCTGGGGGACAGGCAGGGCTGCAGCCGGCTGAGTGGAGAGCATTGCAGGGCCACCCTTGTCTGTGCCTGGGCGGAGCTGGGCGCCGACGCCCTGGGCCCGGATGGGAAGCTGCTTCACTCGGATGCGTTCCCGCCACCCCGGGTAGTGGACACTCTGGGCGCTGGAGACACCTTCAATGCCTCGGTCATCTTCAGCCTGTCGCAGGGTGAGTACCCAGCAGATGGGGCAGGACCGGGCCCCGGCCTGCCCAGAGGACCATGTTGAACCGGCTACTGCCCTCCCCCATGGCAGGGAAGACAGTGCAGGAAGCCCTGCGGTTTGGCTGCCAGGTGGCCGGCAAGAAGTGTGGCCTGCAAGGCTACGATGGCATCGTGTGAGCCCCGCGGTGAGGGCGCCAGCTCACATCCCCGGGGCCACCGCAGCCGCAGAGGCTGGCATCACTGGCTTCCTGGCTGCTTCCCCTCCTTCCATCTGGAAGGGCCCTGCGCCCTGGGCAGATGCAGGCTGGGGGAGGGTCACCCGTGTCCTGGCATCTCATGCTGCTGAGCAAATAAACCTCTTTGCCCTGAGCCAGCTTCCTTTGGCAGTCTGCTTGTTCTCCAGGCCCAAACTGCTCTGGCTGGGGATTCCTGAGGCTTTTGACACCACAGTTCTTCCCTCTTTTTCTCGATTCCTGAGTCCTCCGATTCACTCCCCACCCAGGCTCAGAGGAGGGGCTGCTTTCCCCCAGCCTCCTGCCCTGCTCTTCCGGGGGAAGAGGGGCCTGGGGGAAGGGCAGACAGCATTCCTGGTTGGGGGTGACACTTAACTCCTTGCATACCCTGGGGAAATGGCTAAATGCTAAATAACCACAGGCCCGAGGCTCTGCCCGCCCTCCCCTCCCTGCAGCGAGGCCATATTCCCTTGGCTCCAAGAGTGTCCAGGTGGCTGAGCCAATTAGGTGGTTTGGTGGCACCCTCACAGTCTAAAAATATCTCCACCATGACTGCGCCAGTGCCCAGAAGTCCAGTCCTTCGGGCTGCCTTGTAGTTAAGGCCTTGCCGCAACCACAGAAGGGACCTGCCCACAGTGCTGCCGTCCTTGTGGGGAGACCAGGCCTGGAGGGCCGAATGATGAGGGGACAAAGAGCGTGGGTTTGAGTCAGACAGACCTGAGGTCATGCCCACCTCTTCGCTCGCTCTTCGCCCAGAATTATTGTGAGGATAAAATCAGACAAGTGCTGAAATGCCCAGCTGGATGCTCATGGGGCGGGGAATGGAGACTGGGGTGCTGGGGACGGCCAGCAGCAGGGAGGGCTGGGCGCGGCCCCTCGGCCTGCAGGTGCTGCGCCTGCACTCTACTGTGTCCGAGCACTACCGGGCGGGCTGGGACCTGGGAAAGCCGAACCCCAGCTTTTCCAGGTCCTGCCAGTTCCCCTCCCCTGAGCCCTCCAGGCCTGGGCAGGCGCACTGCACACAGATGCCTGGGGGACGGTTCATTCCGTTCTTTATTGGTTGGCTGAGTCCAGAGCTGCACAGAGACCCGCCACTGCCGGGCCAGGAAGGAGCCACGAGGGGGCCCTCCACTCCAAATTCGCACCCTTCCGTCCTCCACTCCAAATTCGCACCCTTCCGCCCTCTGCCCTCCACTCCAAATTCGCACCCTTCTGCCCTCCACTCCAAATTCGCACCTTTCCAGATTTTCATTGTGGCACTGACACTTGTAGGGGTGAAGTAGGGGTGAACGGGCTACATCTCGTCATTCCCCAGTTGAATAGCATGAGCCTCAAACTCACTTGGGGTGTCCTTAGACTCTCGTGTTTCCTGTGGAAACTCTTCTGTTTCCTCTCTAGTGTCTGGGGCCTCTGCCTGTTCCTCAGTCTCCCCTCCAGGGGCAGGGACTTCTTCTTCGGCCTGGGCAGGGACTTCTTCTTCGGCCTGGGCAGGGACTTCTTCTTCGGCCTGGGCAGGGACTTCTCCTTCGGCCTGGGCAGGGCCCCCAGTCTCCCCTCCAGGGGCAGGGGCTTCTCCTTCAGCCTGGGCTGGGCCCCCTGTCTCCCCTTCAGGGCCTGGGGCTTCTTCTTCGGCCTCAGCTGCGCCCCCAGTCTCCCTTCCAGGGGCAGGGGCTTCTCCTTCGGCCTCCTGTACAGGCTCCACTGGTTCCCTTCTGGACTCCCCTGGCCGCCCATCTTGCTCTCTGGGGTCCAGACCTTGCTGCCCTTCTTGTCCTGATGGGATTTTAGCCGACAGAGACCGCCTCCCAATAGCCTGTGGCTCCAGGGGCTCCTTGGGCTTTGCATGACTTGGGGCCTCTCCTGGGAAGTTGATGAGCTCCCCAGGGGTCATGAGTCCATCCCCATTCAGGTCCTGGGTCTCCAGCACCTTGTCCACCACCAGGATCACCTGTGGAAGCACACGGTCACCATGGGTTCTGCAGTGTCCGGAGCCCGACCCCGCCCAGCACACCCCTGCAGCCCTGGCAGCTAGGCTTTGAGGCCTCCTGTCATAGGGGATTTGTCAACATATCGGGCGGGAAGAAACCCAAGCCCCGAGGAGTTGCATCTGGGGACCCCAGCCAGTGGGCTTACCCCGCTGGGGGCAGGAGAATCAGCCGCTCCAGAAGCGAGGGCTGCTGTCAGCATGGACAGCAGCTCCAGGCCATCCAGGTGTCCACTCTGGTCGTAGTCATGGAGGGCAACGAGGTAGAGGAGAACTGAGGAGGAGAAGCCCGGTCAGAAGCAGCATCGGGGCAGGAGGCCACGCGGGCCCGAGGCCAGTCCCAGCTAGAGCTGCCCGGAGCCGCCCCACCAGCGAGGCCCTCACCCTGCTCCCGGCTCATGTGCTCCGGCTCCTCTTCCATCCTCTCTAGCCCCTTTAGGTAGCTCCGCAGAAGTCTGCCAGAAGAGTGGACAGTCAGCCCAGGAGCGGCCAGCGGCAGCCTCGGCCACGCCCTCGGCCCCCAGCGCAACAGCCTACTCACCGGAGTTGGTCCTGGCCTGGCTGGAAGGGGTTTAGCAAGGGCTGGTGCTGCACCTCAGGGTCCAGCCTGGAGGGGGAGGGAAGGACCAGCCCTGCGAAGAGGCCCCCAGGCCCCAGCCTACCAGCCTTTCACCCCCAAACTCTTGTTCGAGTTCTCTCCCCAGACCCAAAGGGAGTTTCCCTTCCAAATTTCCAGAAATCCTGGGGGTTGGATTTGAGTCTCCTTGGAAGCAGGCGCTTACTTACTAGCTAGCCGCTGAGTAAAATCTCAAAACATCTGGTAGGGAGCGGCCAGATGAGGCTGCACCCTCAGATGCCAGTGAGGGGCAGGGTGGCAGAGTCCCACAGGCCGAGGGCAGGCTCACTGCGCCGGTGGCACTGCCCAGTCTCACACAGACCCGACTTGCTCCCCTGGCCCAAATGGGACTCTCATTTTCCCCCAAGCTGCAGGTCTACAAGTTGGTTTTGGAATTCCAGTGTGTTCAGGATCCCCTGTCAGGCCTTGAGGCTCAGGTCTGCTCCCAGTTCTTGCGGGGGCACCTGTTTGGGGTCACTCCAGACCTGTGAGTGGCACGTCGGCAGGAGCTGCTGAAGCAACTGTCACTGCTGCAGCCCTTGCCGCTGTGCTGGTCGCTTGTCCTCTGTCCCACCCATCACCCTCCCCCCCCCACCACACACACAAACTGGCACCTTGAGAACGGCATTCAGGTAAACAGAAACAATACGCTAGCGGTCTCCATGCCTGTGGCGTGGCCACCGTAAGGTGCTGATGAGAACGGCAGCTCCCTCCCTCACCACCACTTCTTCCCTGTGCTTTGCACCTCATCAGACTGAGCCCCCAGCTTCCCGGTGTGCCCAGCAGACATGAACTGAATGCACAGGACAGAGGTGAGGGGTGCAGTCGGGGAACACACACCCAGTCCCCTGCCTCCCAGAGGGGCCACCACACTCTTGCAATCCCTGGCCCCCCCCCCCCGCTCCGGCCGCTGCCCCTCCCAATCCTGTTACCTCATGGCCCCATCCTTGGGGGCAGCCTGAACCAGGGGCAGCAATAGCACCAACGTTCTCATCATCGCAGGAGACATGGTGCCTGTAGCTGGAACCAGAACAGAATCTGGGAGTCAGGGCGGTACGGTGCTGGTCCGCCCCGACCTGCAGCCCAGGTGACAGCACGCCTGCTCAGGGGCCCCCTGTGGGCTGTGGTACAAAACAGACCTCACCCTGCACCCCGAGTTTGCAAACTGCTCTGGTGGCCACAGCGGGGCGCCCCCAACCGCTCCCCTGACCCCCGTCAGCCCCCGTACTCAGACACATGCAACAAAGTACATCTGATCCACTTCAGCCCACTCACTTCTGGGGGGAAGATAGCCCAGGGGGCAGAAGAGACCGAATAGAGATGAAGAGAATCACGAAGACCAAGTCTTAAACAGAAAGACAGATTCTTACTGTGTGCTTATCAAAGATTCACTGAAGAACAAATCCAGAGGGACTCTGTCTCCTTGAAATAAGTCTAAACCCAGGCACCAGTAGAAAACACAACAAATCAGGGTCCAGCCAGCAGAGGCCCCAGAATTGCTGTTAGGAATCCCGTAGAAGGAAAGGACAGCAACTGCCCCTTGGGCCTCCGCTCTGTGTGCTCACTGACAACAGGCACCTTGCTACTGCAAAGCATTCAAAGCAGAATTGGTCAAAATCAGAGCGTGAGGCTTTCTAATCAGCCCCTCGGTGACACACGGGTGAGTTCTGAGGCTACAGAAGCTCGCCAAAGCTCAGGCCAAGGCCCTGAGGCCACCTCTAGGCTTGACGGGCTAGGGGAGCTCAGGTTCCCTCTGAGATGGTACCCAACTGCTGGCCGCCACTGCATTTTCTAGAGAAAGGCCAGAACTTCTCAGCAGATTCTCAAACTTCCATGACGCTAACAAGGTTCAGAACCACTGCAAGGGTGGACGTCAGTTTCCTCAGAGATGTGGGGTTAGAGCAGGTGAGTGTCTGGCCAATGGGAATTCTGCTCCTAATACATGTGGGAACCAGCTGTAGCTGTGCCAACAGAGGAAGTGGCAGCAGACCAAGGGCACAGACAAGAGCCACAGAAACGGTCATTCTCCCATGCACGTCGGTCCCATGTGAGTCCAGATAGTTTGCTGGTGTCTGAAATCCCAGTGGTTCAGTAGGAGCCAAAGCCACAGCTGCCCTAGAGGCACCCATGGGCATCCTGGGGCCTTGGGCTGCACCCAGAGAGGTGCCCACCTAAACAGGCAGGCAGAATCGAGATCTGCCTATCAAGTGGTGGACATACATCAGCAGAAGCACAAGCTAGAAGAATATCAGTCCTCTGTTTCTGGGAGTGCAATAGTAAGCACCCCAATGAAAGGAACTCCCAGGCTGGATTCAAATAGGAAGTATTGGGGCCTCCCTGGTGTCACAAGGAGTTAAGTCCGCATACTCTGAAGCTATCCTCAGCCACTGTACTTGGATCCCCTGCCAGGGAGGTGGCCCACAAAATGCAGCAGACCTCTCTCGCCCACTGCTCCACTCAGCAGTGTACTTTACCAGTCTGCTTATTCTGTTCCCCACTCTGTCTCTGGTGGATCCTCATAACCCCAACCCCTCCCCACACCTCTGGCCTGCACTTGAGCTCTTGTTTGCATAAATAAATAAATCTTTTTTTAAAAAGTCACAAAAATACAGGTAAGAAGACACCATGTGCAAGAACCAGCAGGTGACAGCAGATAAAACCTAAGCAAAACTAAGATATTGATAGCAGCAAAAAGTAAGATACTGGGATTGTTATACACAGAGAATGTAAAGTGTACTTAATACATTTTTTAAAAATTTATTTATGCTTATAGAACTGGGGTACAGGCCAGAGGTATGGGGGGATGCAGTGAGAGGCTTCACCAGAGACAGAATGGGGAGCAGAACAGGCAGATGGACAAAGTACACTGCTGAGGGGAGCTGCGAGCAGGTCAGGAGAGGTCTGCCGCGCCCTGTGGGTCAGCTCCCTGCCTGGGGATCAAACTCGTGCTGCAGTGGCTTTGTAGAGCTTCATAAGGTAGTGCTTTAATCCATTGCACCACCAGGGAGAGCCCTATTTAATGTTTTAAGAAGTTAAAGAGAAGATTGAAACTTTGAGAAAGACATAAAAGCATAAAAATGAACAAGTAGATCTGAAGAAACAAAAATTTATATCAGTAAAAAGCTTGACTTGAAAAATGCAATGAGTGAGTTAAACAGATTAGACACAGATGACATGAGAATTAATGAACTGTAAAATAGATCAGAATAAGTCATGCAGGGTGGAGTTCATTGAGTGAGAGACCTAGAAAGCTGAAAACAAGAGGGAAGCTGCACGGAGGATAGAGATTAGAGAGCTAGGCAGGCAGGAAGGATTGCAAGAAAGACCTGGGGGCCTTCCCTGGTGGCCTAGGGGTTAAGTCTCACCTCTGTGGCACAGCTGGATCCCCGCCCTGGACCTGACCCACTCAGCCCAGCAGACCTCTCCTGTCTCCCCTCAGCAGTGATTTCAGTAGATCCGCTGTTCTGCCCCCATTTTCCTGGTTGATCCTCTCACCCCCCCATACCCTTGCACTTCCGGCCTACACCCCAGCTCTTGTATGCATAAATAAGTAAAAATAAGTCTTTAAAAAATACAGAAAAATTTTAAAAGAAATAACTGAGGTTTTTTCCCCAGTATATTGCAAAACACAAATATGCCAACCCAGGAAGTATAGAAATTTCAGGCAGATTAAATAAATACACACCGAGAGCTGTTGATTTGAATGACAGGACATTAAGAAGAAAAGAAGCATATTTGAATGTGCTGAGAAAGGAGGGATTGTCATTCTAGAATTTTTTTCTTGGAAAATTATCTCTCAAGGATGAGGAGAAACAAAAATAATTTTGATAAGTTACAAATTAGAGAATTTACTATCTAAAAAATTTAGAATTTACTAACATTACTAACATTCCTCCACTAAAAGAAATGTTGAGGAATCCATTCCAGAAAAGAATCTATTTCAGGATTCCAGAAAGGAAGTTTAAAATGCAAGGGAAAATAGCTAAGAAACCAGAAATATGTAGAAAAATATAAACAAAAAATGATAATTATGTTAACATATGGGGCAAAGAGGTCGGCTGAATAACACTGTTGGACGATATGAAGATATAAGTCAAGGAAAATTGTCTTGGAAGAGATTAGACACCCTGATTAGCTTTATTAAATATACATGTAAAAAATATTAAGACTAACCACTAAAACATTAGAAATGGAATGAATGACCTCAAGCCAGCAGAGAATAAAATGAGTGGAATTCTTAAAAATCCATTTGAAGGAAGACAGGGAATGAAGCTAAAATATCAAATTAAAATTAAAAGGAAGAAAAATAGAAAGCACGAAATAAAATGTAAACATCTGTATACTGGTAATCCTAATAAGCACAAATTGTATAAAATCATCAGCTAACAAATTATCAAAAGTTATATAAAGCAAAATGTAGTTATATGCAATTTTTAACCAAAATAGAAAAAAAAAGTTGAAAGCCAAAGAATGGAAGGCATATAAAGCAACACTAGACAAAAGGAAGCTGGTGTCACACTGCTCATGTTAGATTAAGTAGACTTTAAGGAGAAAAGGTAAAAGGGTGTCATTACAGAATGCACAGAAGTTTAATCCCTGGGGGCCTCCCTGGTCGCACAAAGGGTTAAGATGCAGCACTATGAAGCTGTCCACAGCCATGGCCGCACAGGTTCAGTGCCCGTCAGGGAGCTGACCCGCATGGCACAGGTCTCTCCTGGCCCCCTCAGCAGTGTATTTCAGTCAGTCCACCTGTTCCGCTCCTCACTGTGTGTCTGGTGAGTCCTCTCATCCTCTGATCCCACCCACCCCACCCCCCCGCACCTCTGGCCTATACCCCAGTCCTTGTGTGCATAAATAAATCAATCTTTAAAAAAAAAAACAAAGTTTATCCCTGGGAAGATAACAGTAATTTTAAATTTGAATGTATCTAATAGCACAGCCTCAAAATATCTAAAGCAAAAACTGACTACGCACCTATTGGAATGAGCAGAACCCACGCCGGGGCGACACCAGAGGTTGGCAAGGACACAGGGCGGCAGTGACGCTCCCTCGGTGCTGCTGGGAATGAGAAATGGTACAGCCACTTGGGAAGACACTTGGGCGGCTCCTTGTAAACTGAACCTATTCTCACCATACAATCCAGCCATTGTACTCCCTGGTATTTACCCAAAGGAGTCAAAAACTTAGCTCCACACAAAAAACCTGCACACAGATACTTATAGCAGATTTATTCATAATTGCCCCAAACTTAGAAGTAACAACATGCCCTTCAGTAGGTGAGTGGATAAATAAACTGTGGTAGATCCAGACACTGGAATATTATTCTGTGCCAAAGAGAAATAAGCCATCAAGCCATGCAACTTAAATACATGTTACTACACGAAAGAAGCCAGTTAGAAAAGGCAGTATATGGTATGATTCCGACTATAGGACCTTCTGGAAAAGGCAAAACTAAGGAGACAGCTCAAAGATCACTCCTTGGGGTCTAAGGACTGAAGGGAGGAACAGGTGAAGCTCAGAGGATTGTTAGGGCAGTGACAACTATGTGCTCCCATAATGGCGAATACATGTCATTAAATATTTGTCCAAACCACTGCATGTCAACAGAGACTAAGCGACAGCCTCATGCAGTCAGTCCAGTTTCATCCATTCACCACGTGGCACTCTCTAGAGGACGCGGATAATGGGGTTGGTCTACACGGGGTGCAGAGGGCATGCGGGACATCTCTGTGCCTTCCTCTGGGTTTTGCTATAAACCTAAAACTGTTCTAAAATAATAAAGTTTTTTAAGAATCCAACATAACTACAAGAAGAAAAATCTGTTTGTCATGGGAGAATTGGATGGGTCTCACTCAGCACTTGAATTACTAAGCAGACTGAAAATCAGTAAGAATGCAGATTTAGGGCCTCCCTGGTGGCACAATGGGTTAAAGTGCAGCACTACAAAGCTAGTGGCAGCTACTTCAGCACAAGTTCAATCCCCGGCCGGGGAGCTGGCCCACATGGCGCGGCAGACCTCTCCTGTCGCATTTCGCATTTGCTGCTCCCCTCAGCAGTTGATCTGCCTGTCCTGCCCCCCACTCTGTCTCTGGTGAATCCTCTCACTCCTCCTGCCCCAGCACCTGTATACCCCAGTTCTGTATGCATATATGAATAAGTCTTAAAAAAAATGTAAAAATAAATTACTATTTTTTAAAAAAAAGAATGTAGAAGATTTAAACAAAAATTTCATCGCCCTGAACTAATGAACACTAGGGAAGTTTGCTGCAACCATTTAGCAGATAATATTCTCTTCTCAACACGTGCAGAGTATTTGTAAGAACTGACATGTAGGAAGTCAGAGAGCATGACTCAACAAATATCAAAGAATCAGCCTCAGACTGATTTCAAATGCAATTACATTAGAAATTAATGACAGCGTCGTCCCTAGTGGTACAGTGGGTTAAAGCGTAGCACTGTCAAGCTCTCTGTGACCACTGCAGCCACTGAGGTAACCCACATGGTGTGGCAGACTTCTCCTGACCTGTCTGCTGTCCACTGCTCCCCTCAGCAGTGTGTTTCAGCGGACCTACCTGTTCTGCTCCCCACTCTGTCTCTGGTGAACCCTCTCACCCCCCGCACCTCTGGCCTATACCCCAGTTCTGTGTGCATAAATAATCTTTAAAAAAAAAAAGAAATTAATGACAAAAGTGATGCAAGAAATGACTTATGTGTGGAAACTTAAGAGGTGCGATTAGATATGGATCAAAGAAGGATATCATAATGGAAGTTGTTAAATATTAGAACTGAAAGTGGAAACCTATCTATAGAAATAGAAGGAATTTGAAAAGTTAGAGGATATAGCCAATTTCCTAGAAAAACTTCATAGCAAAACTGATGGGGGAAAAAATAGCAAATTTTAATAACCCTACAACTATTGAAGAAATCGAATCACTGACTATGAACCTACATTGTTTGAGCAAGTATAACCTTGAGCCAGTTCTGGAGAGTGGTGTGTAAATGTGCATTAATTGCCACAAAACTTCAGCCCAACAATATCACCCTGGGGTTACATTAGTCAGAACATAGACAGCTGCTTACGACTGTGCTCTAATGTCAGTCCAAAGAAGTGTAAGCAACAGGCAGTTGCATTATGTGGCGGAAATGAAACGATGTCAGTCAGAAAGTATGACTACTTCAAATTTGTATCAAAAGTTTAAACTTGTGTATCATGAAAGACACCATAAATCAGGCGCAGGAGACTGCCAGAGGAGTGACAGAGGAGCAGAGGGAGCATAGCACAACCAGGTCCAGGGGACCTGGGGTCTCATGAGGGAGGACTCACCCCCACCTGGGACTCACCAGGGGGTGGAGATAGAAATCTCCAGAGGGCCCCCCATGGTGGCACAGTGGGTTAGGACGCAGCACTGCCAGCTAGCCGCAGCTGCTTCAGTGCAAGTTCAATCCCTGGGCCAGGGAGGTGACCCACATGGCTCAGCAGACCTCTCCTGACCCGCCCGCTGCTCCCCACTCTGTCTCTGGTGAATCCTCTCACTGCCCCTGCACCTCTGGCCTGTACCCGAGTTCTGTGTGCATAAATAAATCTTTTTTTTAAAAAAAAGAAATCTCAACAGAGCCCCCATGGAGCTTGAGTGGAAATCCAAGAAATGCAGGGGGATGTGCCCGTCCAGGGGAAGCGGGTGGGGGTGGGAAATGAGAGAAGGCCTGCCTGGGCCCGCGGTCAGCCTCCGTGGCCATGGCCGAGGGAGGGGCTGAGTGAAGGAGCATGCCAGACAGAGGTTTGACCCTGGGCCGGATGCCACTAGGATACGTGGGAAGCACCAGCCCATGTCAGAGGCCTTTGGTGACAGCAATCAGACAGCCACAGGGAACCACAGGAAAGCAAACACTGGTCTGGGGACGATGGGTAAAGGTTATCCATTCCTTCAATATGCAGCGTGACTACGACGGGCCAGGCACTTTCTTATAGGTAAGATGATGATAGAAGTAGAATTATTCTTTTCCTCCTGACACTGACAAATGTGTAAGACAAATGTTAAAAAAATGATGAAGAGTGAAACAGGCACAGAATTGCTCAGGCAGGGGAGGTCTGGCCTGTGTGAGGGTGGGGCCCTCATCTCGGGGGCTGAGTGCAAGTCCAGGCTGCCACTTGCTGGCGTGTGGCTTCGGGGTCCTGGCTTCCCCATCTACTCCATCTACAACTTCTCATGGGCTGCAGAAATGGTTAAAAGAGGCGAGACCTGTGACGTGCACTGCCTGGTTACACAAGAAAAACCCCTTTCCTTCCAGAAGTTTGCCTGGACTGCTCTCTGGTCGCTTCACACATCCCCACTGTCTGGTCTTCCCACCTGGGTACCCTCAAATTACTTTCTCCTCCTCATCTGTTCACTGCCAGCACCTAAGCCAAAGAAGCACTTGAGTAATTTCAATCCCTCCAGGCTGTCAAAACCTATTACTCAGGCTTCCTGCTCTGGCCGCCACTGACGACTGCCTTTTACACAGGATTTTTGTAAACTCCAAAGAACGACTCTGGTGGCAGCAGTTGAGGCATAAAGGGGAGGCACCCCTCAAGCCCCACCAATCTACATACTCATGGGGCCAACTGTGCTGGTTTGAAAAACATGTCTACAAATTCCTTGACAAACCTCCCTATAAAAGCTTGATTTTTATCAAAGTCCCCTTTCTTTGAACGTGAACTGGACTTGGTGACTCACTACTCGTGAAAATCTAAAATGATGCTTCACAACTTCCAAGTTTGGTTCATAAAAGGTGATGTTTATGACCAGAATATGGCTGGTTCTGGTTCTCACTCTCCCTCTCTTGACATGGAAATACGCACCCCGGAGCCTTGAGTCATCCGGAAGGAGTCTGGCTGCCAAAGGGAAGGTGAGTATAATTTTACAGAATAAGGGTAAAGGCTACTCATTTCATTAATATGCATTGATCCCGTGCCATAGGGAGGCACCCTCTTGTAAGTAAGGTGGTATATAAGTAGTATTAGTCACTTCTCCCCTCCTGAAACTTGCAAATACATAAGAAGAGAGACCATGTTAAAACGATTTAAGCCACCAGGCTGAAAAGGAAAAGAGCTCATGGAGAAAATGCAGACAGGGGTGGCAGCTGTTCTAGTCTCCAGCCGCCCACAGCGTCCTCGGCCCATGGCCAGGCAGGTGAGAGAGCAGCCTTCTGCAGTTCCACCCAGCCTTTGACCGCCCTGGCCAACACTGACCACGCAGAACGAATGAGTCTCCAAAACCCTCCTATACCCTCATGCTAGGCAGTCAGTGCTGTTTTCAGCCACTAAGTTTTGGGGTGATTTGTTAAGTTGCCATAGTCATCAGAACTGGCTTCATGGGTGTGCAACATGGACGGTCACATAAAGCCCTTCTGAAGGGCCGGCGCTCAGATTGATGCGCTCTCACCATCTTGAAATTCTTAGTCATTTTTGCACTGAGCCCTACAAAGTACGTATCTGTCCTGCGTCCCGCCCAGGAGAACTACTCTCACTCTTCCCGGTAGATCCTGTGTAGCCAGCACCTGTGTGTCTCCGGTCAGTGTGTGCCGTGGACAGAAAACAGGTTTGGAACCAGCGAAGTCTAACTTCAAATCCCAGCACCACCAGCTGACTGTCCTTGTGACATTTATCTTCACTGAGCTTCAGTATCTTATCTGTGTGGTGGAGATAATAAACGCTTACCTTCAGGTTACAGCAAATGCCAGGTGGGTTACTTCTTGCACAGACTAAGGCAGTAGCCTCTTATTCTTGTTTCTGTCTCTGGATCTTCTTTTAAAGAACCCTCCACACCTGCATCAGATTACATTTCCTTTGCTAGAACCACACTGCTTCTCCTAAACCTTCAACGGCTGTTTCTTTCTACCACAGTCTGGAGTCCTCACTGGGCTCCAAGGCCCAGTACCAGCTATCAAGTTCCCACGTCAGCCTCACCTTCCAGGGCTCCTCTACACTCGACTGCGTCAAGCAGAGTTCCGTAATGAGGGAAAGCCACCACAGCTGTTAACAGTTGACGGCATGCACGGACGAAGTGCACGAAGTGATTCACATCCCCCCCACACAAATACACACCACATTCTCCATGACCCTCGGCCTGAGATTTCTTTGGGCCTTCGCACCAGCATGAGAAACCTCTCACAGTAACAGTGTCACCTAGGCAAGGTGTTGCTTTGAAAAATGAAGATACCTGTCTCATAGGGGCTCAGGCTAAGATAGCTTGATGGCTGGCCAGAACAGACTATTCTAGGAGGCAGCAGGGCTTTTGAGGGTTATCTTGGGGTGGGGGTGGGAAATCAGAAGAAGGGAATAGCTGTCGGTGAAAGACAGAATCGGATTTTTAGGGGTGGATTTACTGTGGCGTAAACAGACGCTGGTCTTCAACAGGGCACACCTGAAATTTATATGTTATAATGTGATGTTACTTCAGTTAAAAGAGAAGATGCATTGGGGGGAAAATGCAGTTTAAGAGAAAAACAAAAAGCTTATCTTGTGTAACTTCCCATCCAGGGCAGAAATTTTTTCCATAGCATCCCTGTCAATACCCATCCAGCCTCCCGCGACTTTCCAGAACAGGAATCCAGCGCCTCCCCGGCAGGCATCTTTCCATTTCCAGCTGGGTGGAACTGTGGGGGGGTCATTTTAACTGAACCCTCCCCTGGACGCTGGCCTCCGTGGCCCTGTCCGCCACCCCCAACCCCGTCCTCTTCCCCTCCGTCCCGAGAGAGACTGACAGCCGCTGTCGCCGCCACCTCCAGCGGGGTGATCACCGCGGCCCCGCCCCAAACCTCCTTTTCCACTAGTCAAGCAAGGCTGAAGGTCCAGCCGGCGCCCCTCGCCCTCCCGCCCAGCGAGACGCGG